AGATGCCCGAGCCACCTCAGCTGGCTCCTCTCGATGTGGAGGAGCAGCGGTTCTACTCTGAGCTCCTCCCGGGTGACCGAGCTCCTCACCCTATCTCTAAGGGTGCGCCCGGCCGCCCTGCGGAGAAAGCTCATTTCGGCCGCCTGTATCCGGGATCTTGCCCTTTCGGTCATGACCCAAAGTTCATGACCATAGGTGAGAGTCGGAACGTAGATTGACCAGTAAATCGAGAGCTTCGCCTTACAGCTCAGCTCCTTCTTCACCACGACGGACCGGTACATCGACCGCATTACTGCAGAAGCTGCACCGATCCGCCTGTCCGCCAGTTGTTGTACCGGTGCGGTACAAAAAATCCATCTCGTGTATAAATCAGAGAAAACGACCAGAAAGTAAAGTGAAATGGACGCTGTCCTAGGACAGAATGAGTAAGTGTTTGCTTAGGTGGTGTAAACGATTCATTATGATTTTGAACCAACTCAAGACACCTCTGCTCCCTCAGAAGGTGACATTAGTAAATTAAGTTCATTTTTACAAAGTTCATTTTTTAAGACACAAGTAATTTTTTTTAAACAGCTGTACAGCTTTAGCACCCCCACTTCAGATTTGGTGCCTAAAGACTGTTGTGCATGTTGCACTGAGAGGAACTGTAGAAGAAAGTCTAAGCTTACAGCAGCCAGACTTTAATATGGTTGATGAAATCAACAAACACATTTCACAACAGCAATCATGTAGTCTTCTGCCAGTCAAATAATCTTTTACTTCATTTAGTAACTGATGCATCGTTTGACCTGAAAGTCTGTAAAAGTCCCTCACATTCATCTCTGGCGAGCAATTTACTTCTCCCTCCTCAAACATGATCTCAGCTCTGATGAGGACTCAGATGACTGACATCTGAGAGCAGAGCCCCAAATTTTACACCCACAGTTTCTGTCACAGTGGTGGTGAATCAGGCACTGAGGGCCTTTGTTTAAATTTCCATTCTTTCCTTCCTTATTTTTTTTTTTTTTTGCATCTCTGAACAGGAACAACTTAAAATGCCTGTATGAGACCAAGCACACACATTCCTGTGTTGCTGCAGTTCTTCTGTTTCTCCAATGCAAAACCTGATCGAGACTCCTTAGTAAATACAAACACATGCAACTTCACTGTCTGTTTAGCAACAAAAAATGAGCCACATATCCTGAGTAAATAACCTCCTTAGAGTTGTCGAGATTATCACAGGGACATCATGAATCATACGTAACATTTCATGCAGGGAGTGTATGACAGTACTCAAAGTAGTTGCTAGCGATAACATAAGGAACATAAACTTTGCCATTGGTTGCATCCACGCAGGCCGCAGGGGTTGACGTTTCTCAGAGTGGACAGAAGAGGCACAGCGATGTCACTGACTATCCGGATACCATTTCAGTTACAGTCTGCAAAGTATGAAGAAAAATTATAGCAGTGACATCAAAGCCCGTCAGAAACTAGCAGGATACTCAGTGCTCAACCAACGTTACTCTCTCCACATCAGGGGTTTTAGAAGTGTGGGGCCGGCCTTCCAGGAGAGGGTGAGGGAGAGTCGATGGGGGAAGTTAGTTATTGTGGTTTGGCCCATCGATTTAGTCCTTTCACCAACACAGTCAATGGGTGCAAGCAACAGTGGTGGCAGTGACAGAGATCAGAGATCAGAGGTCATTTAAATTCTTAGCACCTGATTGCTGCAATTTGCATCAAAAAATCATACTGATCACCCACAACGGGCTGGTTGCAGTATTGGTCATGCACCCCACCTCCTCCATGTTAGTGGATGGAACATGAGCCAAACCAAAAGCTCAATGTGGAAAATAATCTAATAGTTTTATTCCCAGAGTTCAGTTCTGTGGAGTTTGGTAAATATTATCATGCTGATTTCTGTTACATTTGTTTTTAATAAGTTATTTGATGATATAAAAAGGGGTGTATTTCAGATGATTTGACAAGTCTGACTGGTGGTCTGATACATCCATTCCACTTCTGGTCACTACCGTGCACATACTGGTTGCAGAAAAGCAAGATGGCCACCGTCGTATTCATGACCTTTTGGCTTCACTTTTGCGTAGTGGAGGGAAGTGGTGAAGCGACGTCCATTATATATCACAACATCTGAATAACTGGTGGAATGAGTAGAAATGTGCAGAGGATTTTTCTGAGGGACTTGACTTGGGCGTTACCAAAGATTGTGAAGCCCATTGTGGTTCCCAGGTGGTGGAAGGCTGAGCCACCACAGCCAGTTTTGTTTGGCTCCTGGGCTCATTGGTGAGGGAAGGGGAACTGTAGAATGTCAGCACACTGTGCTGGCCTGTAAATGGTCATTTACCATGGCTGGATTTTAGGTACACCCTCACTCTGGGTGGGTTTATCTGACACCACTGTAGAGCCAAAAACTGAAACATGCAACGAACCATACAACAGGTAATAGTTGTGGCAACCCCATAAGGAACAAAAAAGATTTTGTCATACCTTAAGCTTAAACAGGTTGTTATCAGGGAGCAAAGCCTCATTAAATGTTATTTACTTCATTCCTATTTCTCAGCTGAAGAAACTATCATGACTATGAGTAATATGAGACTGTGTCATATATCATGAGAAATGACTTTTCAAATAATGAGCCAACAAACAGCTGTGTTTTAGATGAATATTTATTAATCAAAGTAAAATGAAAAAGAGATTCCAAACACCTTTTCAAGAAACAAGAAAATTAATCACTCATCTAAATCAGGACTTTCCTTGTTTAGGAAGAGAAAACTAGCAGAATGTAAAGTGAAATGGATGCTTAAAGACATCAGTCATGGCACTGCCTCCACCCAGCAGAAAGAGTAATGGGGTGGCATGATGCTGAGCCCACAGTGACAGAAATATATAGTCAGAGAAACTTCAGTGTAACTACTTGAGGCAGTACAGCCGGTTGACACGTTGGATGTCGTTTTGGCTCATCTCCTTGGCCAGGCCAAAGGTAACATTGGCGTCAGGATAAGCCTCCATGGTCGGGCTCACGTTGTCCTTAGAGAAAGCCAGTCTGGAAGGAGGAGACGACCAGAGTCACTGATCATTTTGAACTAGCATCACTAATCTTATGTCAGACACTCAGTATCACACAACCAAACTATAAGAGAGATGGAGAATTTAAGTTGGTAGATTTTATAAGTACTGACCTGCCGTAGTGCATAACGGAGTCATAGTCATACGGGGTGCCCTGGTTCAGAGTGCTGACCTTCTTAAAGTTGTATAGCAAACCTTCAGAGGTGGAAGAAGAATTCTTTACTTAAATAAATACAGCAATGATTTCATCAAAATGTACATCAGTGTCAAAAGTAACTAGGATTCTTCAAAACAGTCAATAAAACACAATTAAACTTGCCAAAGAATGAGAGAGCATTCACATGGAAGCTCAGTATATGTATATACAGTATATACATTTGCTCAGGTTAAGCAGTGGCCGGTCCAACTGGCTTGTAGTGCCACTCGCCTGTGTTAACCAGTTTTAGATTTTCTCAGACAGTCTCATCAATAACAGTAAAACATGTGTTTGTGGCATCAAATCATAAAGAATTTAAATTATGACATGAGCTTTTATCGTGATGCATAAATCTGTTGTTGACATTCATTTAAAAAAGCTAATGATAAAAATGTCACCTGAAGCAGTAAAGAGTAATGGGCCAGTTTAGTCACTTCATGTGACTAACTGTCGTCTTTAATTTTTTTTTTTTTTTATTTCAGAAATTTTCCCAGACTTCCTCCCAGTTCACTGATGTTTCCAAAACACCACCAGTGAGCTGTGTGTAACTGTATTCTCTGCCTCCTCGTCCCCACAGCTTACTAGTCAAGATGTTTCCTTTCAGGATCTGAATGTGATCGTCCCTGTCAGAGCGGGACTGCTCATGGTGGAAGCCCAGGGCGTGGAGGAGCTCGTGCTGCACTATTCCAATACGAATGCAGCTCCGACTATTCAGAGACAGCGTCTGGGCTTTACCCTGGCGACCCACATAGGAGTAGCATCTGCAGAGATGTTGGACAACACAGTAAGTCCCACATCACAGGCCTTCTGAAGAGACACTTAAGTCCTAGCTGCTTTCGTAAAGTCTTACCCACTCAGAGACTGGATGTAGATGTAGTCTACGTGGTTGACACGGGGGATGAAGCGAATGCAGGTGGAAACAGAAAAAGAGTTGAGGGCTGACGTGATGACACTCAGCTGCTTCACGGCTAAAGGTGAAAACACAGATGTAAACCACACTTTGGACAGATGTAAACTACACTTTGGACCATTATTTTCAATTTTTCTTACTGTTTAAAACCCCTATGAAAACAGTTTAACTCTGTCTCAGTACTTTATGACTTCCCTACCCTGTGTTACTCTGCCAAGCCCACTGGATTCCTATAAGCTTAATTTATTAAGAAAGGTTCAATAATATTCTTAAAGGTACATTAAGATTTTGCACAATACCTGATAACACCAGTGATAATGGGACAGGATGCGGTGTCTCTCAGCTATGCCATCTCCCTCCATGACCCTCTACGGGTCTTTCCATCATAAGAACTTACTGAAATGAGCTGAGTCACAGGTTCTGCATTTGTTTCCACTGCCCTCCACCCACTTTGGAGGTGTGTTCCAGGAGCTAAAATTCAGCACCCCTCAGGAGGTAGTACTAAAATCAAGTTCCAGGAACATGAAGGGGGACGGGGTACATGTCAGAGCTGTCTTTCATTCTTGGTTAAATATCAGCGTCTTCACACCTCAAGCATTACAAGCACCATGTGGAAACAAACCCACTGGTTTACAGGTAAAACGAGGACCTTGTTGGTTTAGGGGTCAAATGAAGACTTCAGTTAGTGGACCAGGGCAGCACCTGTTTGATAAACTCCTCATACAGTCTCTGTTACTGGCTGATTGTTGCGCTACGCACTGATCCTTCACGTCCTCTGCTCAGCTGTGTTTATGTATGTGTGAGAGGAGCACAGCCCCTCCCTCTTCTAAACAGAGACCAACACACTGGAAAATACAGGTTATGTCAGGTGACGGTTAAGGGAAGCACAGGGGTGTACTACTTGTTAGCTTCCCACAGAGGAAATGCAGCTTCTGCTGCCTCCAGCCTCTTGTTGTTATTCAAGCTCCTCCACCCTGTGTTGTCAAAGTACGGTCTGTAAATCAGCCCTGCCTGCCGCCTAGCCAAAGTTAGAAGAAGGGTTTTCCAGCCAGTAGTCATGTCAAAGAGCCATGGAGGAGCTCTGGGCAGTTAAAGTTCTGAACCAGCAGCTGCCAGAGTGAAGAGGTGGTGTCTTTTGCACAGAGAGAGTGGAACAAGAAAAGAGCAACAATCAGGGTTAAAGCTTTTTTTAAGTAGCTTGATTTTCCCTAAAATTGGGTGTAGTGGCTCTTTAGCTACTGCTAATTTTGCTATCACTCCCTTCATTATAGAAATCTGGGGAAATTAAAACTCTCATTAAACTGCAGTCATCAGGGCAATCGTTTTGCTTCCGGCAGTGCTCAAAATCATCATCAGTCAAATCATTTTCCTGGAAGGAAAGCAAATACAAAATACTGAGGTAGCCATTGGAGCTAACTGCATAGAAATAAAGTCCCAGGGCAACATGGCGGCTGACCACGCAGGTCAGCTGAGCAGGTTCTTCAGCAGATTATCAGTGATTGTATTTCCATCTGCGTTTGCAAATTGTTAATATTAGTGGAGTCTGTTGACATAAACCAAAACATTTCAGGCACAGTCTACATGGGAATGTAAGGTGGGACTCACAGTAGTTGTTAGCGATGACATAGGGAACATAGTGCCTGCAGAGAGTAGGGAAAATGAAATAGCAGTGACAACAAAGCCAGTCAGAAATGACAGTGTACAATGTCTACAGAAACATTGGTGCTCTATGCAAATTATTAGAGGTTTGAAGCACAAAACAAACAAATGGTTTCCAGCAGCTGTTGGCCTGCAGCTGATGTGACCCATTCACCAACACCGCCAGTGGTTACATGCAACAGTAGTGGCTGAGACTCACCGCTCCTGGAGCCAGATCATGGGCTTTAAAATCATCATTGGCTGATTGTTGCAAGTTCTGTCAGAAATCCTGCTCATTGTCAATCTCTTAACTCAGTCAAATCTTAACAGGCATGATCCACATATGTACGTTTAATTAAATTCAGTTGGGTTTACCCTCCCCAAAGATTGCAGATGAATGTTTATAAATTTGCTTAGGAATCAGCGAAAAAAGAGACTTCTTATTAAAACAGAACTTGCCTGAGATTCAACATGTTTTTAATTTTTCTTCTGCATCAAATTTATTCAGTTTGACTTCTCTGAACATCGATGCTGCACCTTAAAGAACAACTGCTAATATCTAATTTAGCATAATGTTGAGAAAGTGCCAAAATGTAAAGAAAGATAGGTTTTAAAAAATCACTGAATCTATAGCAGTATTATACTTCCATCCCCAAAACATAGGATCATGATGCTCTACCAAATTGAAGAGGTAGGTTTGTTAATACTTTTACATAATTAATTAGCATTTGGTAAATGAGTGATCAGACAACATGTTTCTGATTAAATCAAATCTTCTCCAATCTTTGTTTCTGGAAAGAGTAATGTACTGTACAAACTTTTATTACTACTACTTAATTTAACCTTTATTTTACCAGGAGAACCTTACAGAGATTAAACCTCTCTTTTAGAAAAGAGCCCTTGTCAAGACAAACAACAACACATTCAACTCATATAAAAATGATCTAAAAACGATCAAGTTAGGAAAGGAATTAATATTAAATTCAATATTTCGTTGAAGTTGTTACAATCCCTGAAGTTTCAGCACTATGTATGATTCGTGTTAGTATTAAATATTAAATTATGACTTTAAATGCTTAATCTTAAAAACTACATCTAAATCAGTGTAATTATGAATTTGAACAAAATCAGATTTGTTCAGCAGACTTATCAAACGATGTTAGTAAATGTCAGCTCTTATCATAACATTTATCAATAACGGAATATGAGTTTATCAATAGGTATTTTTCATGGGAGACATTTTGACATGCAGAAAAAGCACAGTTATAAATACCAGACCTATCGATGGCTGAAGTCCATTTAGCTGCTTCACCTTCAGCCTCCTGTTATTGTACATCCTGGCTCACTGCCACAGTGTTAGAGCTTACTAGGACACCTGAATACAGTCAAGGCATTTCTAAATATATGTGCCTTTTCTACTATAACAAGTCCAAATGTCTGCTGTGGAAAAGGCCAAATTAGTCATGATTTCAACCATATTAACCAGCTCTGTCTGAAGTACATGAAACTCCTGCAATTAATTCAGTAAAGTCAGAGATAAATGATGGAAACGAGTGTCGCATGTCTGGCTCCTGCTGACAGAGTATGTCACCCTGTTTGTGTTGCTTGAGTGGATGTGTTCACTGTGCCTCACCAAGGCCCTCGTTAGCTCGCCTCAGCTGCTCTGTGACGGTCAGGCTGAGATTGACATCACTTTCTGTTTTCACTACCTGCACACAGAAAGTGACAGTGTTTCTATCAGACAACCAGCGCAGGAGAAAATGTCACATGCTATATTGTCTGAAGATGCTTTTAAAGTTTATGTGAAGCCCCTTGAACTGACTTGGTGTATGAATGGTTAAATCTAGCTACATGGTGTGTATGCCCACGTTATGT